CGGGCGGCACCGCGGGGCCGCTCAGCGCCGCCCCCCCCCAGGCAGCTGCTCAAGGACCCGCAGGTTCTGTTCGCCGGCTACAAGGTGCCGCACCCGCTGGAGCACAAGATCATCATCCGCGTGCAGACCACGCCGGACTACAGCCCCCAGGAGGCCTTCACCAACGCCATCACCGACCTCATCAGCGAGCTCTCCCTGCTCGAGGAGAGGTTCCGGGTGCGTGCCTTTGCTCTGCTGGGTTTTATTAGTATTCGGTGGGGTGTTTTTTCATTGCAGGAAGTTGATATATTTGAACGTCAAGCAGAAAGGAGGGTGCGTGAGGACTGTGCAATCCTGGGGCAGTTTGCCTAGGCCACATGCTAGGCAGGTGACACAAACCCCCTTAGGGGGTGGTGGAGGCTGCCCACGGCCGCCCTGTCATTACCTGCAGGAGATGATAATGTTTTTATCTTCCCTAATTGTCCAGTGTTGGATTTCTCATAATCTTACACATACGGTAAACTGTTTTTCTAGTTTCTAGTATTTTTTTTCCTGTGTGTGTTTGTTTAACCCTCTGATAAATTCTGCTTTACTTCAAAACATTAATTTTAATTTCAAATTTGTGAGACTTAATCTACCTAAAAAGTGCAGGTACAATGCTTTTAATAATTTTATGCATATGTAGTAGTCTCTGATAAGGCTAATAGTGCATTAACAATTCTTTTATAAGCTTGTTTTGATTTACAGAAGCCTGGTGCTGTCTATGCTTAAAATAACTTCATCTCAGTGCTACTTCTTGTCTTAGTGTCTGTTTTTGCTTGTTTGTTTTACAGGTGGCCATCAAAGACAAGCAGGAAGGAATCGAATAAAATAATCACGTTTAGAATGGACTTCTGATATAGAGTGATACTTTTAGTTGAATGCTTTACTGAAACCCTCATTTGTGACAAAGATTTTCTAAGTCTCACTTGTTTTCTAATTTTTGACAGCAGCCACAATAATTTGGTATTTTTTTTGAACCAGATAGGCAGTCCGTCAAGAAGATAAAAGTTTTGTTTAATTAAATGGATAATTCATTAAAATAAAATTTATTTTTCTAAATGCTTGTACTAGGTTGCTGACAGGGGTGTTGACTTACTTAAGTGACTGTACTTGCAGCATGAGAAGTTCCTGCGTGATAGTGGTACCCAACCTCTCCTAGCACTACCCCATTCCTACCGTTTTTTTCCTCCAAAAAGTCTATGCACTGCCAACTCAACTGGTATTTTGTTTTATTAAGTGTTGTTTCTATAAAACAAATGCACAAATTGTGAAAACTTACAGTAAAAGAAATTGGATGATTACAATGCCTTGATGAGTTGTAACAAACTCTTCCCTTTTTTTCTTGAATGATGATAAGCTGGTCTAGAAAACTTCATGGTTACATGGGTAACAGTCACTAATACTGCACTATTTCAAAGCACGTGAATTAAATTTTCCGTTACAAAGAACTATGACTTCTTCCAAATGGCTGTTATGTTCACACTAGTTAAAGCAACAAGGTAAGTGAAGGTTGGATCTGTCACCACATTGTTTATTAGGACTTCAGTCAGCTGCTCTCCGTTTGCTCGAAGCTCTGGCCACTTCATAATCTAGGAAGAGAACAGAGTTCGTGTCCAAAAGGACCCACATTGTGTCCCTAACTTGGAGGATAAACTATTAACTCCTTCAGTCCTGTTTTGACAGCTGTGTTGCTGCGGAATCTGCTCCCAGAGCAGTGTGAGATCCCACCGACCTGGGCTTCCCCTTTTCATGGCAGGACATGCACTTATATGATGTCCTACATCGACCTAGTTCTCTCATGTCCTTTTCAAAGGACTAAAGTTTAATGCAGAAGGATTTCATCAGAAAGGCAAAAGTAAAAGCAGCTAATCCTCACTCCTGGAAGAACTGACTGTTGACTTGGGCCATACTCATGTAAAATCAAAAGGGGGGAATGTAGATAACATCATACCTATATATAATGACCATTTCTGGAGTAACAGGCTTTGTGAAAGTTTATGCTACTGTTCTTCAAATGTCTTTTATCATGCAGGGAAGCCTAAGGCAGGATCAGTTCCAGAGGTCAGGACTAAGCAGAAGAGTGACAAAAATCACCTCAAAGCAGTCAGCCCTTTTCTATGTGTCTTTTCTATGTGCCCACAAACATTTGCTGTGGTTACCCTCCCCTTGGCAAATCAGTACATCAGTATCTGCAGACTGGTTAACTGGCTGCAGAAATTACATCGTTCCTTGTCAGCGTGACAATTTAACTAGCAGATTTATTGTAGGGGGCCTTTTGGCTAGGCAGTCTGTCAGGCTGCAGAATGCAAGAGTAAACAGACTTGCTTTACAGCTCTTTGTTCCTTCAGAATTGTTTCTGTTGCGTTTTGAAAGATGGCCTTGGTCACACTCTGGAAAGATTGCTTTTAAAGGAACGAGTCAAAAGTGAATGCCAGAGAAAACAATAAGGCAATTTTGGTGTAAGTCCACTTAAGAAACTCCATCCTGGCGGCACCTGTCTGGGCAGCTGCACAGGGCAGGAAAAGAGGCTAATTCAGCACCAACAAAGACAGACCTACCTGTGTGGGAGGGATTCTCTTGTCCGAGCGTTTTCCCTTTGCACTACTCCATGCTGAGGTGAAGTTTGAGAGGTTGTACATCCACACACTTCCCGTCTCATCCCCACAGAACACATACTCTTTTGCTATAAGAGCAAAAAACAAAGAAGCTGGAAAACTACCACGAAGCTGAGGAAGCATTTCTCTTTTCAGTAAAGTTCAAGAGAGTGCTGTAAGATTGTAGCAGAAGATGCCACATTTCAACAAAGGTCTCACTAGCACAGAACAAAAAAAACCTTAAGTTACTTGGCCTTGAATTTAAACTCTATTTTGTTAAAGTATCTCATTCTAGTAGAAAAAAAAAAAGAGTGATAAATGCTCTACAGACTCTCTTCTGTCTTTTAACTTTTCAAGGTTGTAACAAACAAGCTGTTTTGGAATGTGGCCATCAGACCAAGTTTGTTTTTTCTGTGCTCATCTTAGAGGCCAGGTGCCCTCTGTGTTAGGTGTGGTAAACAGTAGTACAGGAAGGCTGTATCACCAATGCATGTTCTCTGCATGCCTTGAAGACCCTACAAGGAAGATTAAGTTGGTGTAACACTAAGCTGGATCTACTCCACCTTCTGTGGGAAATAGTATGTTTGCATTTATAGAGCCCTGAACCCAAACCACGCTCGTGCAGAGCTCTCAACCAGGAGCCAGTGTCCGTCTGCTGCTGTGCAGTGCTGCTCCCAGGGAGGGGACTGGAGGCTGTCCCTTAGGCAATGAAATCCAGGCCTGTCTCTTAACTACAGAATCCTCCAACATGTGACAGGGGAGAAGGGAGGAATTCTGGTTCAGGTAGAAGCATGAAAAGTAAGTCTTGACCGTCGTCTTTGCCGTGGTGCTTGTGTGGAGGAGCAGTGCTGCCTACCTGGGCAGGTGCTGAGCGTCAGGTAGGACATGTCCGTTGGGGACCACTCGAGCTCAGCTAGAATCACTGCAGAGATGGTTCTCTGAGAGGCTTTCCCCTTCCCGTCAAAAGACCGACTCCAGCTCCATACGAATATGCAACCTGTTTTAGAGCTCTTTGAAACTGTGGATGGAAGACAAGAGAAGTCGTGTCAGCTGCTGCCAACACCCCAACACAAAGATCAGCACTGGGTTCAGGTGGTCTGCCTGTGATAGCACTAGCAACCCATAGAACTTTCTATGCCTTGTTTCAGGATAATTTGAGGCTGTAGAGGATCATCCATCCCATTTTTATGTTCCTGAACTGCTGGACAAGTGTAAGCTTCTCAGCAGCAGAAAGACCCTGTCCTACCCCATACTTTCAGCATCCTCTTGGGTTTGGGATTCCTAATTCTCCATAAAACACTGCTGCTGACAGCCCTTAAGCAGAAGGGGGCTCTCACCTGCTCCCCTTTGGCTGTACCAGGCTGAGAGTGCTCACTGGGAAGGGTCCATCTTCCTTCTTGGACACATTTGTGCCTCTTGCCCATGCCTTCCTTGGGGCAGATGGGTGACTGAAACACAGCTGGGTTCTCCAGAGCCCCCAACGCTCTACAGGAGAGGTAACCAAACCCCAGCAGCAGCCCCTCTGCTCAGCATGTGGGTTTCAGCCTTCCTTGCTCCTCATGCCTGATTCTTTTGAGTGGATCTATTGTGTTTATACTCACCTATGACATCGTCATTCAAAAACGCCAACCCATCAACCCTGTGAGAAGTTGTCATGTCCCCCTCGTCATCTGGAAACTGGAATACAGCTTCAAAAGGCCTGGTGAGGAGTGAAGAGGAAGGATGAAATACTGCCCAAGCCTAGTGGTACAGCCTAGAGAACTGCACTGAAAGGACACTTAAACACACAAGCCAGGAAATGAAACTCAATTATTAGTCTCTGGCTGAAGTGAGCAGATGAATGCACAGTCAAACTTGCTTATTTGCCAAGGGATGGCTGTTTTACCTTCTTGAGTTATTTTTTTGTAAGCATCATGATTACTGTGTGTCAGCACGGCATGACTTCTTCCGTTCCTCACTTGTGTTGTGTTTTTGTTTTGTTTTTTTCTTAGATGCCTAGAATTGGATGCACTATTCTAGCGTAGCTGTGACAACTCCATTGCCCTGCGTAGCACCAGTTTCCTGCATAATATCACACACCGGGGCTAAGCTAGGTGCTCCTGTAAGGGAAACTTGGTTCAGGACACATTTAAGGTGATAGCCCATTTAGTTTAGCCTGCAACACTGGAGCATCAATGAAGTATTAATAAAAGCTTCTAATTCTGAGCACACCTTTAGCATTTCACTAGTATTACTACTGAGCCACTGCAGAGGGAACAAGCATGTTCTAAGTTTGGTAAGACACATGGATTTCCTTGAGTAGACCTTGAACAGAAATGAAGTCACTGTGGGGAATTAGATGCTTGTCCCTTATTATGGAAGGTGAATGTATGTCCATCCCCAGCTTATTTCTCACCTGTTTTTCTGTTCTTTATCCAGTTTTATATTCCAGGTAAAGCAGCCTTCTTCACATCCAGCCAGCAGGTACTGATCCGGGCAGGTAGGGACCAGAGCAATCCGCAAGGGAATAGAGAGGGCTTCCAGCACCAGCAGTTGGCTAACAACAGAAAAGAAAAAAAAAATCAAGTTAAGTGGTGCTGCAAAGTGACAGTTACAGACAGTTACAGGCTCCTGGACTGGCCACATCCATTTTTTGAACCTTTACCTTGCTTTGAAATTGTAGTCACAGTCTGGAATCCCAATATCCCAGAGTGCAATTCGCTTGTCATAGGATGCAGCTGTGGGGCACAGAAGAGAAGCAGGTAGTGGCGCCACTGCCCATCTGGCTCTTTTTGTGCCAGTCGGAAATTCTACCTGTGTCACAGGCTGTAAAAGGCTAAGCCTGGGGCATCAGAGAGGGCATTAAAACACAGCAGCAGTCACAGAGGCTCCTTTCTTAAGTAACAACACTTCACAGACGGTGTCAAACATGCACATTCACTACTATTTTTTTTTCTTTTGTGTACACTTAGAGAAGAGGACAAAAGGAAAGTTTGTTTCCTGGTGTCCATTATTATGCTGTGATTTTGCAAGGTTATTAATTAGTGCCAATCTGAGCTCGTGTTTCTGATCATTCACTTGCCCTAGTGCAAGCTAAGTTAACAGTTCCAACTCCTACCTCTTAGGCACATGCCACTTTATTGCACATATCTGTGTCTTTTACTGTGCCTACACCTACAGCAACTCCTGTGGGAAAGCTAGGCTCTGATCCAGAGAGTGAAATATTTTTAATGTCTTTGTCCCAAAGCTGATATACAGACAGTAAAAACAACCCATATTCTAACCATATAGCCTCCCCCAACCTCAAGATTT